ACTTTTGGTGGGAGTATAAGTTTGGACCAATTTGAAAACCAGCAGTTAGCGTAACGGCTATGTTGCTGAACTCCCATGTAGTCGACCGCGGTTCAAGTCCCAGACCTTGTCGCTTAAACTCACACCGGGTGCATATGCGTTTGTGCCCAAGATACTGAGAGGAAAATGGAGGGGAAGGGATTGTGGTGTGGCCATTTCCTTGGGGGGTGATTTCTCGCTTTCTATCTCTCTGTCTCTCTCTGTCTTTCTGGCGAGCACACGCACCCTATAGCAATAACCTCTCCAAAAAACAAAAAAACAAGCAAACAAAAATTTGGACCAATTTGGAACAAAGTTTGCAATACCCACAAAATTCAAAACACCTGTGTTCTTTGACCAAGGGCTTTATGTCTCGGCATACACCCTCCCCCAGGACTCTGCCTGGGCACAGGGGTGTGTACAGAATTAGGCACTGGCAAGACCAATGTAGGACGTCACAGAGAAAACCTAGAGGCTGCCCACGTGCCCGTGAATTGGGGCCTGAGGAAAGAAATACATATGAGTTGATAGCGTTTCGCACCCTCACACCTGGCTCTTGCAGACAGGGTCTCAGTATGTTGTCCATGCCAGCCTTGAACTTGTGACTTTCTGCCTCAACCTCCTAAAACCTAGGTTTATAGGTGCACGGCAGGACACCCAACTTTTAGGGCAGGCTGGGAATAGAACCTAGGCCTTCTGTGTGGCCTTAGCCTGCCAGGTAGCAGCATCTACCAACACCAAAATTAAAAACTCCACACATCTCTCTCTCTCTCTCTTTTTTTTTTTTTTGGAGAGGTTTTTGCTATAGGGCGCATGCACTTGCCAGACAGAGAGAGAGAGAGACAGACAGACAGAAAGAGAGAAATCACCCCCCCCCGGGGGGGGGATGGTCACTCCGCAGTCCCTTCTCCAGTCTCCTCTCGGGATCTTGGGCACGCACGCACACACGCCCGACGTGAGTCTAAGCCACCAGGTCCGGGACTTGAACCACGGTTGACTACATGGGAGTCCAGCAACATAGCCATTACGCCAACTGCTGGTCCCAAGCTCCACACATCTTTTAACAATAAAACAAGAAGATATATTTATGAAGACATATGCTGTGCTTTATGACCTTAAAACTTGTTCCTCTTACCTATCTGTAATTTTGGGTCTGTTACCAACCTCTCTTTATTCCCCTATTCTAGCTTCTGGAATCACTCTTGTATCCTCCACTGTCATAAGGTCATCTTTAAAAAAATTGTTTTTGGTAGTTTTGCTATATGGTAATTGCATTCATCATAGAGAGAAAGAGAGAGAGTTAGAGGAAGAGTGAGGAAGCACCCCCTGGGGTGATGGCCATGCTGCAATCTCTTCCCCTCCATTCTTCTCCTCGGGATTTTGGGCACATATGCACTCATGCCTGGCATGATTTTCAAGCCACTGGGTCTGGGGCGCGAACCACTCAGTTGGCTATGTGAACAGATCACATTTATAAAATAATTCCCTGAAAAACTTTAGATATGAGGCCCAATTTTATAAAATGTTTGGAGTAAAAGTAAAAAGTTTTACTTTCTGTGTTTAATCACAAGATACTAAAAGTTAACAATTTAATAATCTTTAGGTCAGCAATATGGAATCGAGTCTCAAATCAGATGCAATAGTCACACGCAGATTACTCGTGGCCTAATTCAATCATTAGTTGTCCAATCCATAAGAGAATTTAAGCTAACTCAACTATTTGGGGCAAAAGAGAGAGAGATTAAAACATTCTGAATATGCTTCTCAAATATTACAGCTCAATATGTAAGTTAAACATGAAAATTTCCACTTTAGTAGATCTCTTATGCAAAAACAAAAACAAAAACAAAAAAACCCCTAACACTTTCTTAAGTCACCTCTGCCAGATTATTTAAAGTTAAAACCATCATCTAAAATCAGAAACATAATTTAAAATGTTACTATAGTCTTTGTCAATAGCTTATCAAAACAAACACCAATCATTCCCCAAAACTACAGATATATAGATCTATAGATTGGAAGGTAAATAAATATTAACTTCAAAGAGTTCATTTTAATTATAAATTGGGAACTGCATTTCTAGAAACATTGGCAATACTGAAACAACACACAAAGAAACACAACCAATATGTAAACATGTAACGATCCTGGCAAAATATATCTCTCTCTAGACAAGCAGAAATAGTTCCTTTTCCAAATATTTTGGGAAACAATGCTTAAAATTATACAGGGATTGAAAATATAATTTGTATAGAAGTTTATATGAAAAGGAAAAACACCAAAATTGGTAAAAGTTGTCTTTTTGTTTTCTTAAAAATGTATCCTTTATAAAGTTCCCCAACTATTATACGATAAAGTATTGTTTTTAGGAAAAACAAAATGATTGCAAACTGTTTCCAATATTGCTCCATGTGTCCGAGTCACTAGCAGCTCCTGCTCTGCTGCTGTCTGGCCCATCACTTTCCTTGTCCCAGTCTTTCATAGATGCTTCCATCATAAAATCATCACGCAGAATCGTCCATCCTGGGCCCTCTTCTGATTTCCCTTCCATCTGTTTGCTTTTGGAGTTCTTCCCAGCAGAACTTTTCTCATCTCTATTTCTATCCATTCCTCTCAGAACACTGGTGAAATCTTTCTTGGAAACAGTTGATAACAACTTAGCACGCTTTCTCATAGAACCTCCAGCTTCTTGAACCTTTTCATCAACATTCTTTTGATGTTTCTGAACAGCATTAAATAACTGCACCACACCCCTCGTTGCAATTCTCTGAAGATTTCTCTCTGTTTCTTTGTCTTTGACAACATCTGGCTTTACTCTGCACATCATTTCCCACTCCCGCTTCTTATCAAACTGTTTTCTTTTCTCTAGTCTTTCTTGCTTCAACTTTTCTTTTTCCTTTTCCAGCTCTTTGTTTTTGACCAGAATGGTGGGTTTGCTTTTAGGAGTTTTTTTGTTAAGGATTTCGGCCATGGCATCTGCCCAGCCTACATTAGTCCCACCACTTGATTCTGCAGCATGTTCATTTTCTTTGTCAAAGGGTTCAACATCATCTTCACTGTCAGCTTCTATTGCTCCATCATCAGAAGAAAAGCAATCCTTCTCCAATTCACAGCTTCCTGCAAAACCTCCATGGTCAGAATCGTTTTTAACCTCATCTTCCAGCTCCGATGATACAGCCTTGGCTACCATTTTCTTCTTCTTCTTCTCCTTCTTCTTCTTCTTCTTCTTCTTCTTCTTCTTCTTCTTCTTCTTCTTCTTCTTCTTCTTCTTCTTCTTCTTCTTCTTCAGAGAAATTTTCAGCTTTTTGCCCACATTCACACGTCTTTATCCATTTATTGATGGACTCTAGGCTGATTCCATACCTTGGCAATTGTGAGTTGAGTGTGATAAGCATTGGAGTGCAGATATCTCTGTAATGTACTGATTTTCTTTTGGACGTATGCTCATGGTGGGATTGCTGGATCTTACAACAGTTCTATATTTTATTTTTGGAGGAAACTCCATACTGTTTTCCACATTGGCTGGACTAATTTACATTCCATCAGTAGTGCATAAGAATTCCCCTTTCTCCACCTCCTCACCAATATTTGTGTGTGTGTGTGTGTGTGTGTGTGTGTGTGTGTCTTTTTGACCAGAGCCATTCTAACTTGTGAGAGGATACCTATTGCACTGATCACTTTTGAGAATCTGTATATGCCTTATGCAAGGTGCTGGGAATAAAAAAAGATAAATCGATTACATTTAACAGGTACTTATATTTAGCTTTTACTATGTTCCAGACACTGTTTTAAGTTATATCAGTTATCTATTTCTATATCCCAGAACATCTCAAAACTTACTGACTTAAATCTTAACAACTATGTTCTTTGCTCATGATTTTTTGGTTTAGTAGATGGGCTGAGCTCAGCTGGGCAGCTCTTCTGCTGGTTTTGAGATCCTTCATTCACCTGAAGTTGTCTGGCGATTCAATGGGAGCTGGCTGGTCTAACATGGTTTCACATGTCTGCCAGTTGGTGCTGGCTGTAGTCTTGGATTTCCATCTCTGGCACTCAAGCTCAGGCTTAATTACATGGCAGCAATGTTTTAAGATAACAGAAGAGAATCTGCCAGGCCTCTTTAGACCTGGACTTAGAAGTTGTACAGTCAATTCTGTTGCAGTCTCTTGGTCAAAGCCAAGCATAGGACCAGCCTAGATTCTAAAGATGGCAAGTAGACCTTGCCTCTTTGTTTTATTTTATTTTTAAGGTTTTTGCCATAGGAACTATGAGAGAGAAACCGAGAGAGAGAAAGTAAATCCCTCCCACCCCCCATAAGGGATGGCCACACTGCAATTCCTTCTCCTCTTAGGATTTTGGGCGTGCACACACATGTGTCTGGTGTGATTTTCAAGCCATCAGGTCCAAGACTCAAACCATGACGGTTCATGTGGGAATACAGTTCTTTATTCACCATGCCGCCTCCTGCTGCCCCCCACCTCTTTATTTTTAAATGTCCCACAGAAATTATCCGTAAGTAGTGACTTTTTAATCCCTATAACACCTTGAGATAGGTGCCATTATTACTCCCTTGTTCAGATGAGGCAAAGGAAATACATCAGAAAGGTTAAGTAACTTGCCAAGATCATATAGCTTGGGCAATACAGGATGATAAATTCTTTGAAGTCTGTTGTTTTTAATTTTTAAATCTTACAGCTCCTATTAGGACTAACTTATTTCTCTGCAGCCTTGCAGAGAAAGAGACATTCACATTTGCTGTGTGGCTGCCATGTATCCAGAAACTTCATAAGTGTTGTAGTCCTGAACCATCATCACTAGTTGGAAATGGAGGTATCACTGGTCTTTTCATTATTCAGATGAGGAAACCAAGGATTATGGAACTGAAGTACAAGTAATACAAGAGAGCGCCAACCCAGTCTGTTGGTTTGTCAGTGACAACTCAAACATTTCAGAAAAGTAGCTGAAACAATAACCTTGTTTTTCAGATGTCCCGTGGAGCCCCGGAATAGAAGTAAGATGAACATTCCATTCCGCATTGGCAACGCCAAAGGAGATGAGGCTTTAGAAAAGAGATTTCTTGATAAGGCTCTTGAGCTCAATATGATCTCCCTGAAAGGACATAGGTGAGTACATGGCCAGCTCAGCGGCTCAAAACGGAAGTGGCTTAGTTTTTCATGTGGAATAAAATAAACCTTGGCGCCTGCTCAGTTTGGAGCAGTAGTTCAGTAACTTGTTGGGAAGAAGCAGCTCTCACAGGGAGTGCCTTTCCCTATTGTCTATGGGGCCCTTCACTGTTTTCTGGCTAAGAGTGTAATGGAGTCACAACTTCCTCAGGGATTTATCAAAATTACAAGCAGTTCTTGATTTTTTAAAAAAATTATTTTATTTAACTTTTTTTATTATTTATTCATTTGTTTATTTAAATTTGACCAGAGAGGGACAGAGAAAGAGAGAGAGAAAGCAAGCTGCCAGGTCCAGGACTCGAACCACGGTCGGCCATGTGAGAATCCAGTGCCTTTAATCACCATGCCACCTGCCGGCCCCAAGGCAGTTCTTGATTTAAGAAGATTTTTGACTATGATGGTGTGACAGTCATGCAGATTCAATAGAAACTGTCCTTCAAATTCCAATACAACTATCCTGATTTTCACTTTCAGTCTTCAAGGAATTACATGAGATAGCCCAGCACTTCATTATAAAGTCGGTTTTGTGTTGGGGCCAGCAGGTGGCATAGTGGATTGAAGTGCTGGATTCCCCATAAGGCCAACCACAGTTTGAATCCCAGACCTGGCGGCTTGAAACTCAGGCCAGGCACGTGTGAGCGCATGCCCAAAATCCCTTGTGTTACTGAGTCACTGGAAAAGTGATGACACATTTTGCATTGAGAAACATAGAAAAATACATTATGACTTTTCCAAAGACCCAACAGATAAGGTTGCTCAGCCCTTGGCAAATGGAAGCGTTCTGAGCGTGTTTCAGGTAGGCTGGCTAAGCTATGGTGTTTAGTAGGTTAGATGTATTAAATGCATTTTTATTTATTTATTTATTTTTGGAGAAGTTTTTGCTATAGGGCATATGCGCTCACCAGAAAAACAGAGAGACAGAAAGCGAGAAATCACCCCCCCCGGGGGGATGGCCACACCACAATCCCTTCTCCTCCATTCTCCTTTTGGGATCTTGGGCACACATGCACACGAGCCCGGCATGAGTTTAAGCAACCGGGTCCGGGGCACAACTGTGGTTGACTACATGGGAGTCCAGCGACATAGCCATTATGCTAACTGCTGGTTCCTATTAAGTGCATTTTCAACCTAACACTATTTCCAGTGTACGATGGGTTTATCAGGACATGACCATACATTTGAAGGTCTCTGAAATAGCACCTGCACCACGGAGTTGGCCATCTCTTCACTGAGGCTGGTTCTACGCAATTCTCATGGTAGAATGTCACTGTTACTCTAGCTGCACATCACATAGATTAGTTCTCACATGCTCTTTGAAAAATGAATGTCCCCACAGGAGAAGAGCAGCAGCAAGATGCCCCTTCTCCTATCAGCAAGACACCCTATCCAGTAGCTGATCCCATCCTGGGAGGTTCATGAATGACATAACAAGCAGAATCACCTATTTTGTCTGAAATAGCTCTTTTTAAAAAGTTATTAATTGGGACCAGCAGTTAGCGTAATGGCTATGTCGCTGGACTCCCACGTAGTCGACCACGGTTCAAGTTCTGGACCCGGTGACTTAAACTCACGCCGGGCACGTGTGCGTGCGTGTCCAAGATCCCAAGAGGAGAATGGAGGAGACGGGATTGCGGCATGACCATCCCCCCTGGGGGGTGATTTCCTGCTTTCTGTTTCTCTGTCTCTGTCTTTCGGGCGAGCGCACGTGCCCTATAGGAAAAATCTCTCCAAAAAAAAAGAAAAAAAAAAGCTATTAATTAATTAATTGAGAGAGAGAGAGAGAGAAAGATAGGAGCCCCTGACAGTATCACCATACTTCAATTCTCCCCCAAAGCCTTCAGCAAATTAGGATCACAGGTGGGCCTAGCATAGGCAAGTTAACCTAGGATCTGAACCCTGGGCCTCCCATCTGGCCTCAGCATTACACGGCAGCATCCTACCCTGTCACCTGAGCCATTGTGGCTGGGCCCTGACTTAACTTTTCTTCCCCCCATCTCGTTTTCTTTGCCAGGAGTGAATAGTTTGAACTAAGTTAAATGTGAGCAGAAAGGGATGCTTTCTTTTCTTTTTAAAGAATTATTTAATTTTTACTCATCATTACTTTTTCATTTGATGAGAGAGAGAGAGAAAGAGAGAGAGAAACTGAGAAAGCAAAAGCAAGCCTCCAAGTCTGGGCCTTGAACTATAGTTGGCCCTGTGGGAGTCCAGCATCTTAACCACCATGTCACCTGCTGGCCCCAGAAATGGGTGTTTCCTAATGACTGAGGCAGAAGCAGCCCTGGGCCTCCTGCAGGAGTTTCAGATGGGAGGTTGGGTGTGGTAGTCTCAGGTGGTATAACTCTCAGGATCAGGTGATTAGAAAGGAATTGTTTTGATGCCAAATTAGATGCTTTTTTTTCTTAATGGTTGGATCTTTGGTCTCTCTAGGTCGGTGGGAGGCATCCGGGCCTCTCTGTATAATGCCGTCACGATTGAAGACGTTCAGAAGCTGGCCGCATTCATGAAAAATTTTTTAGAGATGCACCAGCTATAAACATACCCTAACCAGTGTGTACTCTGGCCTTGAACAACGTACAAAATTTAAAGTTACTTGGGAATGGCTACCAAAAGCTAACAAACATGGTATTTTTCTCAGATGAAAATGCTCATAGATTCTTCATGTTTTTCAAAGGGCAACAGCAAAACATCTACACCTCTGCAAAGCTGATGGGACCTAATGGCTGCCTTAATTTTGACTTAAACTGGAAGCATTTTTAAAGTCTTCCTGTTGCTTTTCTAGTGAATTCAAGCTTATTTTATCTTGGCTGTTGCTTTTTCTGGCTGGATCTCAGTATTCAAACGTACCTGTGGATGTAATTATGCGAGTTGCAATTAGGTATTTCTGGTGTCAGGGGAACACATAGAATGGGAGTGGGGTGTGTAGTGGGGGTCCTCCAGGTGCTGAATAGGGTCCCGTGGATTCCTCAGCTGTTGATTAAGGTTAATGTTGACCATTTGGTGAACGTTTCGGAGTCCTAGGCAAACGGGAAAACTGTAGATCTTTCTTTGTACTGTTACTTTCATAAAGAGATAAAAGTGACAGATATATGTTTATATAGCAAGGTCTGTTTTTAATACCACATAGTTTATACCTGTATGCTTTTATATTTCTAATAATACGGTGCTTAGTGATCTTTGTAGAGGGTTTTAGAATTTATTAAACCCTCGACATTGTGCATTACGCGTATATCAACAGTTGTGGTCCCCTCCCCCCATGCTCCTTTAAGCTGCTCATTAAAAAGATTTGTAAGTTCTGGTTCACTTTTACTCTCCTTTCAATAGGTAGAAAAGAAGGTTGGTTGGTTTGTTCTTTGTTTTTTTAACAGTGCTGTTAATTGAACGCCCTTATCCTTTATTCCATTGGAACTAAGTTAAATGTGAGCAGAAAGGGATGCTTTCTTTTCTTTTTAAAGAATTATTTAATTTTTACTCATCATTACTTTTTCATTTGATGAGAGAGAGAGAGAAAGAGAGAGAGAAACTGAGAAAGCAAAAGCAAGCCTCCAAGTCTGGGCCTTGAACTATAGTTGGCCCTGTGGGAGTCCAGCATCTTAACCACCATGTCACCTGCTGGCCCCAGAAATGGGTGTTTCCTAATGACTGAGGCAGAAGCAGCCCTGGGCCTCCTGCAGGAGTTTCAGATGGGAGGTTGGGTGTGGTAGTCTCAGGTGGTATAACTCTCAGGATCAGGTGATTAGAAAGGAATTGTTTTGATGCCAAATTAGATGCTTTTTTTTCTTAATGGTTGGATCTTTGGTCTCTCTAGGTCGGTGGGAGGCATCCGGGCCTCTCTGTATAATGCCGTCACGATTGAAGACGTTCAGAAGCTGGCCGCATTCATGAAAAATTTTTTAGAGATGCACCAGCTATAAACATACCCTAACCAGTGTGTACTCTGGCCTTGAACAACGTACAAAATTTAAAGTTACTTGGGAATGGCTACCAAAAGCTAACAAACATGGTATTTTTCTCAGATGAAAATGCTCATAGATTCTTCATGTTTTTCAAAGGGCAACAGCAAAACATCTACACCTCTGCAAAGCTGATGGGACCTAATGGCTGCCTTAATTTTGACTTAAACTGGAAGCATTTTTAAAGTCTTCCTGTTGCTTTTCTAGTGAATTCAAGCTTATTTTATCTTGGCTGTTGCTTTTTCTGGCTGGATCTCAGTATTCAAACGTACCTGTGGATGTAATTATGCGAGTTGCAATTAGGTATTTCTGGTGTCAGGGGAACACATAGAATGGGAGTGGGGTGTGTAGTGGGGGTCCTCCAGGTGCTGAATAGGGTCCCGTGGATTCCTCAGCTGTTGATTAAGGTTAATGTTGACCATTTGGTGAACGTTTCGGAGTCCTAGGCAAACGGGAAAACTGTAGATCTTTCTTTGTACTGTTACTTTCATAAAGAGATAAAAGTGACAGATATATGTTTATATAGCAAGGTCTGTTTTTAATACCACATAGTTTATACCTGTATGCTTTTATATTTCTAATAATACGGTGCTTAGTGATCTTTGTAGAGGGTTTTAGAATTTATTAAACCCTCGACATTGTGCATTACGCGTATATCAACAGTTGTGGTCCCCTCCCCCCATGCTCCTTTAAGCTGCTCATTAAAAAGATTTGTAAGTTCTGGTTCACTTTTACTCTCCTTTCAATAGGTAGAAAAGAAGGTTGGTTGGTTTGTTCTTTGTTTTTTTAACAGTGCTGTTAATTGAACGCCCTTATCCTTTATTCCATTGACTTGTTTGTTTGTTTGTTTGCTTGTTTTTTGTACTGTTTGACCAGAGTGATACTGTGAGTTGCTAAGGAGCTTTGCCCTAGAGTCTTCCTCCCATTATTCATGTACTGTCAGTATTTTGTGTTGACCACATGAAGAACATTAAAGTTGTAAAACAGTTAAGCCCTTGTCCGTGGTTTTCTCTACCTGCTTTTTAGACAAATGGGTCTTTTTTGTGTTTTATGATGGGAGTAAATTCTGGTAAGGGTCACTTAGTTCAACCAAAGGTGTAGCACTTGAGTCTTTAGGCATCCACTTGTTTACAAGGATTCCACGTGGTGCAGTGGCTTTCCAGCTGCTTTTGGGATTGATGTTATCAGCAAACCACCTTCCAGTGCACCCCCCAGCGTAAGGTTCTATGAACTCTGTCCTCTTACCCTAGAAACATGCCCATCAGATGGTTCTGAACTATCTCCCCGTTTCACTAATTGCATAATGAGGACTCTACTGGTTTCTCAGCTCATCTACACCAGATAGTTGGGTTCCCTGGTCAGGTCTCAGCCCCCCAGGCTTGGGTCTGTCATCTATAGAAGGAAGATTGCAATAACTCCCCCAGTTACTTCAGGGGTATTTCGAGTTCACAACCAGGGCTGAAGGCAGGATGTGAATAATACCCACAATAAGACCTTAAATAGCAAAAGCTAGCCAGCCCACGAAGGCCAAGTAAGTGCACACATATATAGTCGTGGCGCTGAGTGAACGTCCCGCCTCTATCTCGGCCTTTCATTTGTGGTTGCGAACCCCAGTGTCTGCACCAGACCCACGTTTCTCAAATCTCCACTGACTTCCACTCCCGTTGCCACGGACAGTTTTGCTGTGCCAGCCTTTGGGGGTGTTTCAGCAGACTTTCCTCTGCCCTTACTCCCCTCCCACCACAGCCAGTTGGACTATGACTTCCCTCACCCTCGACCTCTTAGCTCAGCTAAGAGCTTTGCAGAACCTGGCCTGGCCTCTTTCTGTTCGTGGTTCTTGGAATGTGGCATCCGTTTGCCCACGCTGCGGTATAGGCCTGGATTTCTTGCTTCCACTCATTAAGACCAAGCGGGCTTCTAGCCTAGTTGAGGACAATATCCTTTTTCTTTACTCTCAGCAGGGTGAGCCTCGTGCCCATCACAGCATCTACATTCTGTTCCTTATTGTGAAGTGGCTTATCTGTCTTTTCCATAATGCAGCAAGGAAAGAACCAGGGTTTTTCACCTCCAGCACCTGGCATCCTGCCTGGCCCTTTTGAACGCTTAATACTTATCTGCTTACCAAGTGGAAAGTCTGAATGTGAATCCTTTTGGTCTTTCTGAGTATTGCCAATGAGCTTAGATGGAAGGTAAGCAGGCCCAATCTCACATACATTAACTTTTTTCCCCTCAAAATCTGAGTCTACAGTTCAATTTCATTTTATACTAAAGTGCCAATTGTGATTCCATGCCTGAATGAGAAAAATTGTAATTTTGGAGTTCCCCCAGAACCATGATGAATTTGAAAGCTTTTGGAAAACGGTCAACAACTGGGTGTGGACAAGAGGTAATCACTCATCTAGCCACATGGAGAGGTTCTGGAGCACGGGTTGCTGGAAAATACTCATTCGAGCAACAACCTTGACCTTTGTTTCCAGGGAATGGGCTGATGATAATCCACTGACCTCGTGGAGAGAGGTGGGAGGGGAGACAAGGGTGCATGCAGGCTTCTTGGTAGGTGGGCTGCAGGATCCAGAATTGGCTGGTCCTTCTGTGCAGATTGAAAGCAAAAGAGAAGGGCCCAGCTGAGTGATGTGTGCTGGAGGCTGCCGCCCGACAGGCCTGGGCCTTGTGGGGAACCGGGTTTGACGCTGTGCCTGTGCTAAGAAGCCGGGCCTGGTGATGTGCCCCTGTAATCCTAGCTACTAGAGCAGCTGAGATGGGAGGATGGGAGGATCATGAGGCAGTGAGACCCTGTCTAAAACACCCCCTTCTGTCAGACATGCACACAATTTCTTAAAAACGCAAAGTAGACAATCAAGTGTCTTTGTGTAAGAGGCTGCTTCAAGTTCCTTTGGGTCCTCTAAACTGTACTAACCCCAAATGAATTGTTTATTAATACTAGAGCACATGTACGTACATGAGAAGAGGAAGAGAGAGACAGAAGAGGAGGTACCCTCTACACCACTCAGTCACACCAGAGTCCCCTCTCCAGCCCAGCCTGTCAGGATCCTAGGCACCCGGGCAGACACCTAGCGAGTTTTCAGGCTGAAAACTGCCTTCCCCGACCTGTCATGGTCCCACCCACTGGATACCAATCCAGAGATATTTCAGGGGTCCAGGAGTGGGTCCAGGGCTGTTACAGCCCTGCGTGTGAGTTAGAGAGGGAGAGAGAGAGGGAAGGAGGGGGAGGGAGAGAGAGTGTGTGGCAGCTGTCAGTGTGTGTATGATGTGAGGAGTGGCCATGGGGTGTGTGCTCATGGAGTCGGGGTGGAGCTGAGGGGCTGCTGGGCCTGAAGGGCCTTAACTGGCCTTACTTGGTGCCAAAACCTCTTGACTTCTTGGCCCACTGGCTCCTCTGGGATCGGGGAGTGGGGTTGGGTAGAGCACAGTCTCCTGACATCTGGGCCCAGGGGGGACCTCTCCAGCACCCTGGCCATTTGAACTGGACTTCCAGCTCTCTTGCCTTGCCTTCGGATGACTGTGACCTGAGACTCAAAGCCACCTTTCCCCAGGCTCCTTGGCAGGGAGCTGGCTCCCACAGTGCTAACCAGGAAGCCCGGTTGCTCTTGTGGAGGCGTGGGAGCTGGGTCGGGTACAGCCCCCAGCTACAAGCCCTTAAATAAAGCAGCCAGTGGGTGGATGTGTGTGGGAGTCCAGGCCAGGACTAGAGCCAATCAGCAAGGGGCTTCTGCTCTCTGGTATGTTACTGACTGTGCTACAAGAACTGGGCTCCCCAGCTGAATTTGAAGTTGTATTCTTCTCTTTCAAAATTCCGGGCCAGGCAATAGCACAACAGTAATGCAAGTGGACCCACTTGAGAAAGGTCTTGGGTTTGCATCCCAGTGCCTCCTTGAGCATTCTGGGGTTATGTGTGTGCCTATGGTCTGGGCTGCCTGAGACTGGTGGGTGCCACATGCAGACCCTGTCAGGGCAACTGTCTGTCGGACTGCTTCCCCCCTCTCATGGAGGAAATAGATGCACTTAGAATTCTTAACATGTGATCATTCTAATGCCATCCAAGTGAGAAAACACGTGTTCCCATGTTCCTTATGTTAACCTCCGCCTACCACTTTGTCTCCACTACGTCATTTATATTCTTTGCACAGAAAGCCAACATTGTGTTGTGTCCCTAACTCCTCATCCCCCTGCAAATCTGTTTATTGAAATATGCCTAATG